TTTTTCCTGCCTTTGACCAATAGAAGCGATCGCACATGAAGCGAGCGCAAAAATCTGATTAGAATCAATTTAGGGCCGTAAATAATCTTGCTTTCAGTATCGACGGAATCAGCTGGTGATCAGTTCTGAGCCCAATCAAGACTAGGGTTAGTAACCTATTTATTTTTATATGAACTCATTAAGATAACTTTATAGAGTATACAAATGATAGCAGTGAAAATATGTGTATGTCTATACGACGGTGTAATCAGAGACTTCAAGTGCTGATAGCTCAGTCGTTTACACGTCTAGCTTATTGAGGGCCCATACTGGGAGCAGGGTTGTCGCGGGTTCGAGTCCCCTCGTTCCCGTTAATTCTCCGCACTGATATGGTAAGCGATTCTTTGGCATTGTGTAATAGTTGCAACTAACATTTTTTTGTCACATCTAGGAATTAACAACATCCGGGAGACCTACTTGGAGCAGTCGAGCCATCCTTTGTAGCTTGGACCTCTGGGATCTTGCGTGACATGGGGCGTTTCTTGCAGCTTTCAGCAGCGAGCTGCTGGAGGATATCTTGCGTCAGTAGTCTACCACCCACTGTAATTCTCTTGCGCTTTGGTGTTTTCTTCTGCTTCGTGCGCAATGTTAGTACTTCAGCTTCAATTGTCGGCCTAATACGCAGCCACTTTGCAAGGTGTGCGTGACGGGGAGCTCCGTTTCTTTGAAAAATACCAAAGCGCTCGTACATACACACTAGCGATAGTGGAAATAAGCCGCAAGCTTTAAACCCGATCTTGAGGTTCCTGCCGATCTTGCTCGTCGCCCAAGCCATGTTGGAAAGCTTTATTGCCGTTAATTTGTCAATAGAATAGCGGCCTTTGTCATCTCCATCCACGACCTCCTTTATTAGGTTGCACAACTTCACCTTTAGTGTTGCGAATACTGCAACATCCAAAGGCTGTAATAGGTGTGTAGCATTAGGCGGCAGTAAAACCAAGAGAATACCGAGACGAGTCGCAGTCTCCAGTACATCCTCAGAGTAGTGAGAGCTGCAGCCATCTAGCACCAGTAATAGGGGGCGTTTGATAGTACTAGGCACAGACTTATCCAAAAAGTGCAGCCATCTCTGAAACATGTACGTGTTGATAAACCCAGAGAGTGAAGTAGTAACAGCGGCGCTAGAAGCTCCACACTCATCCATAATGTCCCACTCCACGGTTTTGCCAGGTAGTATGTACATGGGAGGCACTACAAAGCCGGCGGCACTTCCACAAGCGACGATAGATAAGTGAAAGTTAACGGACGGATCCAAACACCACACATTCGACGATCCTCGCACAGCAATCACTTTCTTACTCTTCTTGCGCGTTTGAAACGCTGTTTCATCCATGTTGAAAATTCGAGAGCTGTCAAGGCGCAGCTCGATGATTAACTTAGCCAAAGAGTTGAACAGTGTCGTTAAATCACCTGTGACAACGCAATTCCGCTTCTCAGTTAAGGCCTGAGCCGCCCGGGTTGTCAAATCTGGATGTCGCTCTATAAAGCGTTGGTACCATCCCGGCCCAACGCTTTGACCAGCCACGAGCAGTGATACTTCTTGAGCCTTTTTCAGGATAACGGTTCGGTCGACGGGATACCCTACAATCTGGCGACCAACAACCCACTCGAAGATGTGGCGCTCCGCCTCTGGAGGGAGACGCGGTTTTGGGCCGCGACGACTTGGCTCTAGTGAGTTCTCTTTCTTGACCTTGGCTAACCACTTCCGAATCGTCCTATCTAGAATCCTTCTTTGGGTTGCGACGTCCGCAACCGTCGCTCCGCTGAGTATTTCGGCCACAACAGCGGTCTTGGTCTCAGTCGAGTAGTATGGGCGAGTGGTCGCCATGGGTGTTGCTTATTTAATTCAGAAGTGAACTGCAGTATGCTCGATTATAACGAAGGAGTGGATTGATTGGTACTGAGCAACTTCACTTTGGTTGGCAGCGTGTTCTTGGCGCTGAAAAAATGGCGCCAACAGTTCCCGCCGTTTTGTATTAAGTTTTCAAGGTATTCGAACTTTGTGAAATATAGCCAATAGATCGCTAGTACGACGCGATATTTCATGTCATTGGCTGTAATTGTGACGGCCCAAAACTGGTTCACGGCCCTAAATTGATGATTTACCTTACCCCACGGGACACAATTACAGATTTTACAGTAATTGCAATTCTGCAATCATTTTGTCCGAGGTCTGACTGTATTCATACTCTGCTTTGATTAGCAATACATATATGTAACAATGCAACATTCGGCATCGTGTCGTTACTCAATGTACCAGTGGCAGGCAGCTCAAAACAGAACGGGGCTTTCAAAAGAATTCTGCTAGTAAATTAGAGTCGCTGTTAGGAAAGTGTATGTGCGACTAGCGCGGGATGCACTGTCTCAATTTGAGACTCTCAACTGGCACAATCATCGCTGATCAGTCCGGATCAGATGATGGCCACTCGGGCCGAGATAGTCTCGACGACTATCGCAATAACAACAACAACAACAACAACACCAACATGCACTCTGTTGTAGAACTATCGATGGGGTCAGTGGCTCCAGTGCGGTCGGCTAGGCTGGCGTCGGTGATTACTTGGCGAACGGACTCTTGTTGCGGCAGAAGCTGCAGCAGTAGCAGTAAATATGCCGACGTGGTTGACGCGCAATTGTGTTGGTGCACCCGGTATCAATCCCACTCTGGGACGTAGCGGTGAGAGCAATCGGGCCTGCGAGATTGCTCGCGTTTGCCGCGCAATCGGAATCGTAGGATTGCTCGTCCTTGCTGTTGTCTTTGCAGCGGGCTCCGTTCACAATTGAATTTGCTCAGTCGAGAGCAAGACATACTCCAATCGCTCGCAGCTACAACCCAAGCAACCACTGCTTTGGTCGAGGACACAGACTTACGATGGAAGCACCTCTCAACCTGCAGTCGGGTAAGACCATGCTTGAGCACGGCCCCGAGGCGCTCAACCGCTACCTAGCGTCATCCTTGGAGCCAGCCATCGGTAGCGAGCTGCCACAGCTGGAAGTGCGCTACAAGAACCTGTCGGTGACAGCCGACATCACCGTCACCGAGGACGTGACTGCTAAGTCGGAGATCCCGACACTGTACAACACAGTCGCGCGATCGCTGGCGCGCATGTCGCCCATGCGACGAGTGGTACGCAAGGAGGTCATCAAGAACGCGAGCGGTGTATTCAAGCCGGGTACCATCACACTGGTACTGGGCCAGCCGGGTTCCGGCAAGTCGGCGCTCATGAAGATGCTGTCGGCGCAGTTCCCCGTCGAGAGCAACATCACGGTGGAGGGCGAGATCACATACAACGGCGTGCCTCAGAAGGATGTCATCAAACGTGTGCCCCAGTTCGTCGAGTACGTGCCTCAGTCTGACAAGCACTTTGCGACGTTGACGGTCCGTGAGACGCTTGAGTACGCGCATAAATTCATTGGCGCGGGCTTGGCGGAGAAGGGTGCCGAGACCTTTACAAAGGGAACGGTGGAGCAAAATCTAGCGGCTATCGAAGCGGCCAAGGCGTACTACAAGAACTACCCGGATGTGGTGATCGGTCAGTTGGGTCTTCAGAATTGTGAGAACACCATCATTGGTAACGCGATGCTGCGCGGTGTATCTGGTGGAGAACGTAAGCGTGTGACGACGGGCGAGATGGAGTTTGGCATGAAGTACGTGAGCTTGATGGACGAGATCAGTACGGGTCTGGACAGTGCTGCGACGTACGATATCATCTGCACGCAGCGGAGTATCGCCAAGACGCTGCACAAGGCGGTGGCGATCTCTCTGCTTCAACCTGCTCCGGAAGTGTTTGAGTTGTTTGACTACATCCTCATCATGAACGAGGGCGAGGTCATGTACCACGGACCACGCGAAGCCGTGGTGCCATATTTCGAGAGTCTGGGCTTCAAATGTCCAGCAGACCGTGATATCGCCGACTACCTTCTGGATCTGGGTACGCGTATGCAGCACCAGTACGAGGTTCCACCTCCTATGGGCATGACAAAGCACCCTCGCGCTGCAAGTGAGTTCGCAGAGGCCTTTGTGAACTCCCGTGTGTATGCTGATCTGGTCGGTATGATCGAAGCTCCGATGGATCCCGAGCTGAAGAAGCACATGAATGAGTACATGGATCCGGTCAAGCAGTTCCGTCGCTCCTGGTTCAGGAACATCGGCGCTCTGAGTGTTCGTCACATGACTATTTTGTGGCGTAACAAGGCCTACGTCGCCAGTCGTGTAGTGATGACATGCTTCATGGGATTGATCTACGGAAGTACCTTCTTCGATGTCGATCCGACGGACGTGCAAGTGATGCTGGGTGTTATCTTCCAAGCTGTTCTCTTCATGTCGTTGAGTCAGGCTTCGCAGATTCCTGTCTTTATGGAGGCTCGTGAGATTTTCTACAAGCAGCGAGGTGCCAATTTCTACCAGACTTTGTCGTATGTGGTCGGCTACTCGATTGCGTTGATCCCTCCGTCACTGTTCGAGATTATTATCTTCGGTTCGCTAGTATACTGGATGTGCGGTTTCGTCGCGAATGCCGGCGCGTACATCATCTACCTGGTGCTGTTGACGTTGACGAACCTGGTTCTATCCACGTGGTTCTTCTTGCTGACGGCGCTGTGTCCGAATCTGGATATCGCCAAGCCAATGTCGACATTCTCGATCGTGTTCATCATCATCTTTGCTGGTTTCGTTCAGCCAAAGAGTGAAATTCCCGACTACCTCGTGTGGATTTACTGGATTAACCCCATCGGCTGGTGCATGCGAGCGTTGTCTGTGAACGAGTACCGTGCGTCCAAATACGACGTGTGTGAGTATGGAGGAAGGAACTACTGTTCGGAGTTCAACATGACCATGGGCGAATACTATCTGGCTCAATTTGGTGTTCCATCGAGCAAGACGTGGCTCTGGACTGGCGCTATCTTCATGTTCTTCTTCTACGTGTTCCTATTGGCGGCCAGCACGTATTTGCTGGAGTACCGTCGGTATCTGGCCCCGACCAACATCCAGTTGTTACCCAAGGAGATTGAGGATGAGGCACAGGAAGGCTACGCACTAGCCATGACGCCAAAGGCGAAGAACACGGACGACTCGAATTCAGACACGTCTCACGACGAGGTTATGGTGGCTGTACCGCGGCGTGAAAAGAACTTCACTCCCGTGTCTATCGCGTTCACGGATCTGTGGTACTCAGTTCCAAACCCGACCAACACGAAGGAAAATCTCGACTTGCTGAAGGGCATCAGCGGCTACGCGACGCCTGGTACGTTGACGGCATTGATGGGATCTACTGGTGCCGGCAAGACGACCTTGATGGACGTAATCGCTGGTCGGAAGACTGAGGGTACCATCCAGGGCAAGATCTACTTGAATGGCTACGAAGCCAACGAGCTAGCCATTCGTCGTGCAACTGGCTACTGCGAGCAAATGGATGTCCACTCGGAGGCTTCAACGATGCGTGAGGCGCTTACCTTCAGTGCCTTCCTACGTCAGGACAGCAGCATCCCGGACAGCAAGAAATACGACACGGTGGACGAGTGTTTAGACTTGCTGGACATGCACGATATTGCAGACCAGATCATTCGTGGCAGCTCGCAGGAACAGATGAAGCGTCTAACGATCGGCGTGGAGCTGGCTGCTCAACCGAGTATCCTCTTCTTGGATGAGCCAACTAGCGGTCTGGACGCACACTCTGCCAAGGTGATCATGGACGGTGTGCGTAAGGTTGCTGACAGCGGCCGTACCATCGTGTGCACTATTCACCAGCCGTCATCGGATGTCTTCTTCCTGTTCGACCATTTGATCTTGCTGAAGCGCGGTGGCCAGTCGGTGTTCGTGGGTGAGCTGGGCGAGAGGTGCCAGAAGCTGGTCAAGTATCTGGAGGCGGTTCCCGGTGTCAAGCCCTGTCCGCCGAGACAGAACCCTGCGACGTGGATGCTCGAGGTGATCGGTGCCGGCGTGAGCAATGAACGCGCCCGGGATCTGGATTTTGTGGACATTTTCTCGAAAAGTGAGGAAAAGCGTCACTTGGATGAGATGTTGCTGCAGCCTGGAATCACGACGACTTCACCCGAGTGGCCGGAGTTAAAGTTCGAGAAGAAACGCGCTTCCAAGGGCTCTACTCAGATGTACTTCTTGATGAAGCGGTTTTTCAACTTGTACTGGCGCAGTCCGGCGTTCAACCTCACCAGGTTCGGCATCGTGTTCGGTGTAGCTATCATCTGCGGTCTGTCGTTCCTGAGTGTGGACTACACGACGTACAGCGGTTTGGTCGGTGGTGTGGGTCTGGTCTTCATGTCGACCTTGTTCATGGCTATGGCTGGATTCATGGGTACGCTGCCAGTGTACTCGACGGATCGTTCAGCGTTCTACCGCGAACGTGCTGCTGAAACGTACAACTCACTGTGGTATTTCGTCGCTACGACGGTGGTGGAGATCCCGTACGTGTTTGGCCAGTCGCTGCTTTTCATCGTCATCTTTTACCCGATGGTAGGTTTCCAGGGATTCGCCACGGCGGTGTTGTACTGGGTACATGTGTCTTTGTTCGTGCTGGGCCAAATGTACTTCGCACAGCTGCTGATCCACGCGTTCCCGAGTATCGAGGTGGCTGCTGTCATGGGTGCGCTTATCAACTCGATCTTCTTGCTGTTCGCTGGTTTCAACCCGCCGGCATCGTTGATCCCCGCGGGCTACAAGTGGTTGTACACGATTGTGCCGCAGAGGTTTTCGATCTCGATTTTGTCCGCGTTGGTCTTCTGTGACTGCCCCGAGGAGCCGACATGGAACGAATCGTTGAGCGCGTACGAGAACGTGGGCTCGAACCTTGGTTGCCAACCGTTGACAGGCACGCCGGTCACACTCGCGCACACGACCGTCAAGGGCTACATCGAGTCGACGTTCAAGTACAATTACGATGACCGCTGGGCAAACTTTGGTTATGTGTTCGTGACGATCGCTATCTTCCGTATCCTGTCGATGCTATCACTGCGCTACATTAACCACACGAAGAGATAGAGGAATCAGTGTACAGAGTTTCAGCAGGAATAGCTGTCTGCAGTTGAAAAAAAGCCTTGCTAAAAGACGCTAAATAAAACAATAAGTCAAGTTTTGGAAGGGTATTTTAGAAAAGGGATGCGACGGGATTACAATAATTGTATTGGCGAAGCTGTACTACATCAACGAAGGGTAAGTCATGCTCGCTCTCCACTCATATACCGACGAAGCTATACAATTTCGCCATTTAGCTGCTATGCATTTAAATGCTGTCCTCGTGCAGTAATAGTGAGCAGTATCGTTTCCACAGATTTTTCTTGCGCATTAGCCTTTCTATAATCTCGCTTGGACAACAATAGATTGTCATACATGTACTCCAAATATGTACTGGCCAAAATAGTTGTACCAAAGATGTAACACCACCACATTTATCGCTCGTTCTCCGCTAAAAATACTCGGTAGCTAGTAAAACGTCCCTCAAAATGATGCTACAGCAATTATCTTTCATGCTTTACTAAAACGAGATCGAACAAGCAAAATGTAGCGAGTGCTATACTTGGTCAAATATCGACCAGCACATCAAAGAGTGTCCGTATCGCTCATGAAGTTTCACCGAAAGTGGTGCTAACGATGTAGTAGATAGAACTTACCGGATCAGTACGAATCGATAGAGAAACTTTTAGCTATCAGTATAAGGAGTCCGAATTGGCAAATCTGACCGCAAATTCGGACTCTACGCCGAAAGTTACCCCTTATATCTAGCTATCGTATATGGAAAGTTATCATCTTCTAGGGGTAATTGGTGCTTGAAATTTGGTACAAACATTTTTGGCCAGTACAATAATAGCTGTGCATTGCCAGCTGAAGTGCTTTAAACGTAGTCTTGAAGAGTCTTCAAGAAAATGTGTCTGCCGGTTTCGGGTAGTGTCCCCAATGGGGACACCCCATTGGCGGTTCGCCAATGCGCCGCTTAAAATTGGACATGACGCACGCTCTGGGCCAGAGCTGTTCCCAATGGGAACTTCGCATAGCACTTGGATTACTGGTCAGTGATCAGCGCACCACCGCAGCTTGACGTCGGTCGATCGTTTACAGGCTGAATTGTAGTCTGCAACGCTCGAGTGAAGCCAAGCTCGCCACATTGTGGGTATCACATGGCACACGTGCACGCGCTCAGACTGAGCCTCAGCATCCCGTCCCAGCCAACGGATCCCGTCAGATTTTCTAGTAAGATTTTAGTCGTTTCTAACAGTAAAAAAAAAGCGTAAAAAAGCGGCAGGAACTTCAACGACCGACACGACCACAACCAGCGCATTGGCCTGAGGCACGCGCCACAACGTTTCTTTCCGTAGAGGGCGTTCTAGCGAAGCGGTAAGGCCTACAGTAAACCAGGCATGTCAACGGTTAATCTACATCCTAGCAAGAACGATGTTCAGTAGAGCGTTGTGGTCGGTCTCAGTGAGCACGAACACATGGGGTGGCGAGTCTCCACGTGGGTTGTACGATCTCATTCCGCAATTTGCCAGCCACTCGACGCATCCCGGACCAAGCACTAAATCGGCATCTTCTTCTTCAAGCCTATCGTCGATGATACCTTCGGCTCGATCCACCATGTCGTCGGCAATAGCATTGGCGCTAGGTGCTGTGGCGCTTTTGTCCTCGACTGACGCTCTCACCGACCTTAAGACCGATTGGGAGGCCTACGTTAGTGTGCTCACCATTCCGGAGGTCATCGACATGACCGACGGTGGTGCCATCGATATGCAAATCGGTCGGTCGACGCACAACTGGACAGAGGATGGATCTCTTGCCGGTTCCATTTACGGCTACGCACTCAAGAACTCGACGCCAACGTCGCCTGGTCCAACCATCAAGGTTGCCAGAGGTGTACCGATCAACATCACCTGGTACAACGAGCTGGAAGCCCCGCACCTCCTTCAAGAAAGCGTCCAGTACACGCTCACGCAGCATGCGTCTGCGTGCTATCCGTACTGTGGCGTTCCTGTCGTCACGCATGTTCACGGCATGGAGTCTCCCGCAAGATTCGACGGACTCCCGTTCCTTTCCATCTACAAGAACCAGTCCCAGGAATTCGTCTACCTAAACAACCAGTCGGCGTCAACGAAAACGTACCACGATCACTCGAACGGGCTCACCCGGCTCAACACGTGGGCCGGTCTCGTGGGTGCCTACATCATCAGTGATCCAGAGTTGGAGTCGTCGCTCAATCTTAACATTGAAACCGACATTCCGCTGATTTTGACGGACCGTCTCATCAGTAACACCGGCAAGATCATGTATTCGGACGATAACTGCAACGAAGGTGCCACCTTATGGGTACCCGAGTCTTTCGGTTCGGTCAACTTGGTGAACGGTGTTGTGATGCCTTATGTCGAGATTCCACCTGCTCAGGTGCGCTTCCGCTTGGTAAATGCCGCGAATGCGCGCCACTACAACTTAACGATGCCGTTCGCGGACAAATGCCAAGTGGTGGCTACAGACTCTGGTTTTGTCGGTGAACCCAAGGCCCTGACTGAAGACCTTGTCATTTTCCCGTTCGAGCGCGTCGAATTTGTCTGTGACTTTAGCGGCGTTGAAGATGGCATGACCTACGATCTGGAGGACAAGCAAACGTCCGACCAAGCTACCCCGTACGACAACCGCGTCATGCAGTTCCGAATCCTAACGAGTTTGAAGACTGACACGATGAAGGTGAAGGAAATTCCCTCTTCGCTGACCCCATACAAGTCCCTGAAGGAATTATACGAGGCAGGGGGGAAGGAACGCACATTGATTCTCGGTGAAATGGAGACGGAGCTACTGTGCCCTACCATGAGCATTTTGCTGTACCGCTCGCAACAGGTGAACACGTCTGGCATCACCGGACACCTGCACTGTACCAAGGGTACGGTCGAGAAGTGGAACTTCCAGAACCCCACCGATGACCCTCACCCGTTCCACTGGCACTTGATCAACGCGCAATGCGGTGAGACGGAGGAAACGGTGAACACGAACCAGCTCAAGGACGTCGTTGTGATCCCGAATGCTGGTGACCGCAAACCGGATACCATTACGCAAGTTTGCTACGTAGCGTGTACGCCAGGAGACTATCTTCTCGAAGGGAACACTCGGGGTGCTAAGGAGTTTAACTTCGACACGACGGACCCGTACGTTGCTCACTGCCACATTCTCGAGCACGAAGAGAATGCCATGATGGCGTGGTTCAACATCCAGGATGTGGACGATGGCTATGCAGACGATAACGGCATCACACCCAATACGCAGATTACCAATACGGTCATTGCTACAGCCATGGGCATGAGTGTGCTGGGTGGTCTTGCTACGACGCTGTCGGTGCTTGTGATATCCGTCAACCGTCTGAATTTCCTTGCGAGCCCCTTGGCACTTTCCGTGGCTTTCGCTTTGTCGTCGGGCGTGATGTTGTTTATTGGCCTGGCAGATCTCTTTGAGGAGGCAGTGACATTCTACCGAGCCCATTACACTACCGGTAACGTGGATCCGGAGGCATACGAAAAGGGTGGATCGGCCAGTACCGGAGTCTGCGATAACACCTGCAATGGTAACGCGTATTTGACCACAGTGGCTGCATTCTTTGGTGGTGTGGTCATCATCTTGTTGGTTGAGTTCCTGGTACACTCGGTTTTCGAGAGAAAGAATGCTGCCGGTGAGAAGGCTAATGCCGTTGATGTCGGCGAGATGGAAGAAGGTGACAAGGCTGCGTTTGCTTCTCCGGTGCCTGAAAGCCCGGCTGCCGCCAACCATGAACTCCACAGCCCATCGACAGCGGAATCATCGAATCTGCTAGAACAGAACGCCGGTCAAAAGGAGGAATACCGCCGCGCCGGCGTCATGACGGGCATTGCCGTGGCCATTCACAACTTCCCTGAGGGTCTTGCTCTTTTCGTCTCGTCACTCGCTGGGCTTCGGTCGGGTATTGTGCTCTCCATCGGTATCATCCTTCACAACTTCCCGGAAGGTGTTGCTGTGGCTGCTCCTGTGTACTACGCCACTGGAAGCAAATTGGAGGCCTTCAAGTGGACGGCTTTGAGTGGAATCGCGCAGCCTTTTGGCGCTGCAATCGGATGGGCCGCGGTGTCTGGAGGAATGAGTTTTGCATTGCAGGCTTCACTCTACGGAATTGTGGCAGGAATGCTGGTTTGCATCACGGTGAAGGAGTTACTACCGGGTGCCTACAAGTTTGACCCGAGCGGCAAGGCATTCGTGGTGGCGTTCTTTAGTGGTCTGGGCATTATAGCGCTGAGCATCATGGCCTTGAAGTATGCTGGTTCGAGCTAGTTTCGCAAGTAGCCAGCCTATGTGTTGTGAACGAGACCTTCAACATTAAACAAGTGCCCCTTTTCCTACAAAAAATTCAAACGAAGACTTTGCATTATCTTTTGTTACGTCTAGTTAAAGGACTCTTAGCTCGATCCGGCGTAGTTGAGAGCAACCAGACTCAACGCAATGATGGCGATACCAATGAAGAACGACGGCACGAACAGCTTTCCGCTCGGGTCGAACTTGTAGGCACCCGGCAAAAGCTCCTTTGCGGTGATACACACCAGCATACCTGCGACGAGAGCATACAGAGTAGCTTCCAGCGAATAGCTCATGCCGCCTGAAACAGCGGCCCAACCGATGCCAGCACCAAGAACCTGAGCAAAGCCACTGATGATCGTCCACTTGAACGCTTCAGCCTTGCTTCCAGTCGCATAGTAGACGGGAGCAGCGACTGCCACACCTTCCGGGAAGTTGTGGAGAATGATACCAACCGAAAGCACAATACCCGTGCGAAGACCGGCAAGCGACGACACAAACAGCGCCAGTCCTTCCGGGAAGTTGTGAATGGCAATGGCAATGCCCGTGAGAACACCAGCACGACGGTACTCCTCCTTGACCTTCAGTTCTTCGAGAAGCGCCTCTGACTCCTGTCCTGCAGGACTGGCAAGCTCTTGACGAGCAGCGTCAACCGGAGTGCCCGGCACCGGGGAAGCAATATGCACAACACCCGCCTTCTCAGCGCCGTCGTCCGCCATCATAGCCTTTTCGCCATCCGCCTCTAAATCTGCGTTGGCCGCAGCCTTGGCAGCAGCTCTGTCCTTGCGCTCGAAAACAGAATGCACGAGCCATTCTACGAGCAGGATGATGGCCATTCCAACGAAGAAGACGCCGGTAGCGGCCAAATAGGTATTGCCGTTGCATGTGTCATCGCATACTCCAGCGGAGGTTGTGCTGCCACCGTGTTCGTAAGCTTCAGGGTCCGTAGTACCAGGAGTGAAAGCAGCACGGTAGTAGGTCAGCGCCTCCGCGTACAGGTCGGCAAAGGCAATGAAGATCATGACACCGGCAGACAACGCGAAGGCGATCGAAAGCGAGCGTGGATCAGCGAGGAACTTCAAGCGCTCCACCGAGATAACGAGCACAGACAGCGTTGTTGCAATACCACCAAGCACACTCATACCCATGGCCGTGGCAATGACAGTGTTGGTGATTTCGGTACCCGGCGTGATGCCATTATCATCGGCATAGCCGTCGTCCACGTCCATGATCTTAAACCAGCTCATCATCGCGTTTTCTTCGTGCTCGAGAATGTGGCAATGAGCAACGTAAGGCTCCGTTGTGTCAAATCCGTAATCCTTGGCGCCGCGAGTGCTGTTGGCAATGAGGTACTCGTCGGGAGTGCAGGCCACGTAGCAGACCTGGGTGATAGTATCTGAGGCACGATCGCCGGCATTCGGTATCTTGGCAACATCCTTCAGGTGGTTCGTGTCAATGGTTTCTTCTGTTTCGCCACATTGCGCGTTCACCAAGTGCCAATGGAACGGGTGCGGGTCATCCGTTGGGTTCTGAAAATTCCACTTCTCCACCGTTCCCTTGGTACAGTGAAGGCTGCCGGTGATAGTCGTCATGTTGATCTGCTGCGATCGATACATGATCATGTCGTACAGGGGGCACTGCAGAGCGGTGTCCATTTCTCCGAGGATGACCGTGCGTTCCTTTCCGCCGGCTTCGTACAGTTCCTTCAGCGACTTGTACTTGACAAGAGTCGACGGGAGCGCGCGGTACTCCATAGTATCCGTCTTGAGGCTCTCAACGACACGAATCCGCATGATGCGTTCATCATAGTCTGTAGGCTGGTCAGCCGTTTGGTTATCCTCGAGGTCGTATGTCGTACCGTTGGTGGCGTTAGTGAAGTCACAGACGAACTCGATGCGCTCGAACGGGAATAGAACGAGGTAGTCTTCGAATAACTCTGGCTTTTGAACGAAACCGGAGTCGGTCGCAACGATCTGGCACTCGTCCTGGAACGGGACAGTGATGTTGTAGTGGCGAGCGTTGGCAACGTTGATCAAGCGGAAGCGAACCTGAGCAGGCGGCACCTCAACGTACGGCATGATCACGCCGTTCACAAGGTTAACCGAGCCGAAGGACTCGGGCACCCACTTCGTCGAGCCGGCATTGCAGTTGTCGTCCGAGTACAAAAGCTCACCCGTCGTATTGATCAGACGGTCGGTCAGTACCAACGGAATGTCCGTTTCAATGTCCATGTTGATCGACGCCTCCAGCTCGTCATCGGTAATGATGTAGGCACCCATGAGACCAGCCCACGTGTTGAGACGTGTGAGTCCATTGGAGTGATCGTGGTACAGCTTGGTGGACGCAGACTGGTTGTTGTAGTAGTGGAAAACCTGTGACTGGTTCTTGTAGATAGACCGGTATGGCAACCCGTCATATTCAGGTGGCGACTCTAGTCCGTGAACATGCGTCACAACAGGCACACCGCAATACGGATAGCATGCAGACTCGACGTTGTTGAGCGAGTCCTCGACTGAGTTCTGAAACAGGTGCGGTTGGGACAGCTCGTTGTACCAGGTAATGGTGATCGGTACGCCTTTAGCGACCTTGATGGTCGGACCGGGCATGGTGGGCGTCGAGTTCTTGAGCGCGTAGCCGTAGATGTCACCGGAGATGGAGCCGTCCTCCGTCCAGTTATGCGTGGCACGGCCGATCTGCATGTCGATGGCACCTCCAGCGGTCAGGTCGATGACCTCCGGAATGGGCAACTCGCTGACATAGGCGTCCCAATCGGTCTTGAGGTTCGTTAACGCTTCAGTCGGGGCCAAAACGACGACTGCCACAGCTGCCGACAGTGCGGTGTGAGCCAACATTGCTGCTTCGATGTGACCGAGTGCGCAGAAGCCCGCGAATTGCAGAATGGCACAAGAAGCGAGACTCGTCGGGCAGAACGTGGGTGGTGCTAGGCAACCATCGGATATGTTTTCGCCGGCCTGCGTGCAATAAAATGCACTGTAACACTGTCCGAGTTAATCCGGGTGCTAACGAGCTTGAGCACGGCCACCTGCAACGGATGTTGAAGCTATAACAAAGCGGTAACCTCTGAATAAGTCGATGCAATCGACTTTTAAAGTCTTCAATGATATGAAATCAAAAGACATACATCGGCATCTCCTTTTAGAGCCTGCAATAATGAGTTTTCGAGCTGAGTCGCTGAGAATCCAATATCGAGGGATCAGCAGTTTGTACAGAGCGATACAAACACCAAAAAGCTCACGCGGTCGGTGCTCCGGCTCAGGCGCACCGTCCACAGTCTACAGACCCGCTCGACGCGTGGACCAGGCCAATCATATCGAAGACCACAGCTGAATGGAAGCGAGGCATCCGTCCCGTTTGGTTCAGATTTGCATGTCTGGCCCTCTCTGCGCCGCTTGCAGAGATGATCCACCGTGAGAGTCGATTCGATTGAATCAATCGATTGATCCGTGCGAATGATTGCCATGCCATGGCAATCATCAGGGATGACACTCGGTCGCGTGAGCCCACAAGTAAGCCTTTGGCAATTGCAATTGTAGATTTTTTTTTCATTCATCTGAATCGTTATAACGATTGCATCTTTACGTGTGTAGTTTAGTTTCCTCTGCGGATTGCAGCGGTCTTCGACATCGCGTCTGCGCTTGCGAAAAACTTACCGGTAGTCGACCAAGCATGAGCGATTTGACAGAGCCAGATATATGAGCCAGGCGCAGTTAAAAGTGCAACGAGCGGTTCTGTCGGTGCTATTATAGCGTGGTGCTGCTGCTTTTATTAATACCATAGTTTTGCAAAGCCTTGGTAGCTAAATGGGTGGCATCTCCGCCACGTTCAGTCATTCGGGTGTGTCAAGCTTCAGGCTGATCCATCCGCTTCAAGATACATGAACTGTACAATAGTATCCCAGATGCACGCTGCACTGTAGTGACTGCAGTAGCGTGGCCTATTACCGATGCTAGCAACAGCCACACTGTGGTCCACAGCGATGCACCACAAGCGTGTACCCGGCTTTCACTGGGCCAAGTGGGCGAAAGCAGGAGATCTACGACCTAGTGGAGGAAGGCACGCGCTCGGCTGCGAACAGTTTGGGATAGTCACCACACAAGATCGTCACGCCGTTTATCACGTTTACCGGTACCTTGTCGGTGACTGTCACGGATCTCCCAATCGTTTGGTGCAGATCCGGACATCTTTTCGTTGGTGTCGGTGTGATGCGGGCAGAACTGAAATCCCGACGTGAAAGACATATACTTCAAGTAATAGGGAGCGCGACTGAAGGTGAACCGTGCTGCAGACTACGATAGAGATCGATGATCTCGTTTTGCCAGTATTCCCAGCACGCTACAGGCTGTCTTCTTCTAGAAAAAGCATACATGTATTTAACTTGTGAATACTGTACGTGCACAATGTCCACGTCGTCTGGTGATTGCTTTGTTCCTCGTCTCACGGCTCAGTAACCTGCTCGGTCGCTGCACAATTCGTCCACGTGATCGAGCGCAGTGGAGCGGTACATCATGTTAACTAGATGTAGATGTATATTGTGGTACTGTAGCAGCATTTCATTGGATTCGAGGTTGGCGTATCGTGTCCTTAGTGTCGTGGATGCAATTTCTTGACCAATAGGAAGGAAGTCGGCTATCAAAGCACAAACGCCTCGAGACTTGAATGCCTAACTGCCACCAGCACTACCAAGCGTAAGAGGCAACCTGAAAAATATTGCTTTAACTTGGGTCTCTTATAGATGCTGTTTTAGCCTCGATTGACAAACGGGGACGTAATTTAGATATTTTACATTTCATTGTGCGCTATATGCAGGGATCCCGAAAAATAAAAACGCCGAAAAATATTGCTTTAACTTGGGTCTCTTATAGATGCTGCTTTAGAAAAAAGCGAGGAAGTTTCATATATCCTGAGAAACGGGGACGTGACCTAATTTAATATGTAATTTATGTTCCACTTTTCATAATTTACTTGAGCACCAACCAAACAACCCTCCAACAATCTGGCTGCAGCAGCACAAACTCCACATATCACTTTGCAATTTGCCGTCTTTCTGTTTACAACCTTCCTTAGCGATGTCCGACAATCTCCTGGTCTCTACTCCCCCAAGATCAACCTTTTCGCCGAAGCAGATAGCTTGCTTCTATTTCAAGTCTTGCCTCGACGAGGAAGGGGAGGCTACCGGTTACTACATGTGCAAAACCTGCCGGAAGTGCCACAAGCACACGCCCAAGACTGGGTACACCAGCTTGGTGCCCCACGTGAGGACGGCTCACCCCAACTACGTGAGCGACATGCTGGACGCAAGCGTCGCGGCGTCGGGGACACTTCTGCCCTGGGTGAGCCAGAAGGCCTCCAACCGCTTCTCCTCGTTTCCACGGCCTTAGTCACAGTCTCCATGGTTGACGTGAGTGTTTCCACCGAAATAGGATTTAATTTTGTGTACCTGTACATAAACAGATACGGTAAGTTACAAATGTACACGCGGGAATATATGAGAGGATTACTTACTGGCGGGCTTCCTTGGACTCGCAGAAGGAGAGCAGAAGGTTGGCCGCCACCACCCAATGCAAAAGCCATCGGGGATGAGATGCCCGAGCAATTCGGTCTCATCCTCGATGGCTGGAGCCATGGTACGGAGCACTACTTAACCGTCTATGGCTGCTACGAGGTGGCGACGGGGCCGCAGTACCCTCTGCTGTCGCTGGCTCCGGTAATGGACGAGCCTGACGATCAGCTGAATACCGAAGGACATCTGCTGGCCATTTCCCTATTCCTGCCGTTTTTTTGGGAAGACGACTAGCAACTGCTTGTTTTTGGTCGGCGACAACTGCGCCGCCAACAAACGGCTTGCCAATCTTCTAGGCGTGTCGCTTATTGGCTGCGCTAGTCATCGACTTAACCTTGTGGTGCGTGACTATCTGAAGCCGTTCGAAGAAAGTCTCGACCAAGTTCAGCAACTGGTGCGGAAGTTACGCACACTGAAGCAGGTCGCCCAACTTAGGTATTTTTAGATTTTGTACATCGTTATGTAATTTTAACTTTTTATATGTTTTTTTTAAAATTCAGAACGAAAACGCCATTGGCCGCTGTTCTGCGACAGGACACACGCTGATCGTCGACTTTTTCTATGATCCAACGTTATTTTCGACTGCGGGAATTTCTTTCGGCTGACGGCGACAAACTGGCAGACTACCTGCCGTCCCGCGCAACTCACCGCAAGCTCGACGAGCTTCTGGCCAGCCTTTGCGACGTGGAGTCCGTGTCCAAGCGACTTCAAGCTGACGGGCTGACGATGTTGGACGCTCGAGACCTCTGTGACGGCCTCGTGGAGATCCAGCCCTCATTTTCCAAGTGCCAGGGTAAGCGCAGATATACTTCCATTGATTCTCTGATATTTAAGTAATTTGTGTATTTCCATGTTGTTTCTGTAAATTAGCTGCTAATGCAGACATTGTACACTCTGTTATATTCGAACAGGCTGCCTGTAAAGTGCTGGCGGGGCGTGCAGTATCGCTTACGGACGAAGAAACCGACATTCTTGAGCCTTTTAAGCGATGCACGGTGAGCAATACTGAGGTGCAGGCTACACGCAAGGAAGGATTCGCCGATCGCATCCTCAAGCGGCGCAAGGTGAGCGCAGAGCCAGCGAGTTACGCGCTATTGGGAGCCATTCCACCCACGTCGAACATTGTTGAGAGGCTCTTCAGTGTAGCGCGGTCTGTGCTACGGCACGAGCGTCACCGTCTATCTCCAATGATGCTGGAGATGATCTTTTCTTAAAGGCCAACGGCAGCTACTGGAACGTTGCTACAATGGACCAGTGCTGTAACTGACTACGTCAGTACACTTGATGAGAGTTACGGCAACCGCCATCTGATATTCTTCTATCCAACACGGAAGTTTTTGATTTTTCTCTACTGCTATTACTGCGTTATTTAATTGTTATGGTGGTGGCAATCAAAGAAGTATGTATTTCAGCATTGATGCTACGATATATATATATATATATAATATTTTCGGGAACCCTGGCTATATGTACTACCATGCGGCGATGAGCGTTGATAAACATGATCGTCTAGCTACATGTAGATTTGTCCTATACTTACGGTATACTGGAACGGGGCATCAGTATAGCCTATCAAACAAAAACGCTCGAACCAATACTGGCTTCCAGCCACTCAACGACAACGCTCGGAGAACTTTCGATGAAAATGTCACTTGCCGTCGGATGGCATTCAGATCTCTCGAAATATTTTCCATGGTTTTCTCTTTCAAAGATTTTCTGAAAACGTCATAAAGCACTTTTCCTGAAAAAAATTCTTGCCTTGACTGCTCATAGCGGCCTACAATAATAATAAAAGATCAATCGTGGTCCGAAACCCAATGCGCACTTTTTCCTATACAAAGTACTTTTTATACAAAAAACCATTTTATTACGATCGTCTCCACTATGTACGTTATATGTGGTCCACACATCACCGAATTTACCACAATCCCGAAAATAGATCCGAATTTGTGACGACCAGTGCTTTTGGCATGACGCACAAGCGAATCTGAATTGACCATGAGCGCGAGCAAAGAGGACGTGAAGCAGCGACAGGTGATCGTGATCCTGGAGCAGGCAGCGCTACCAGTATAGCCTACCTAATACGAAGTGTCCCTCCAGTCACTTCGTATTACTGCTTTTCGCAAAGACACATTCTTAAAAAGTGCTTTTTAAATGAAAGCAATAGAAACGAGAGAAAGCATAATTTATTTTTAATACAAAATAAATAAAAAACATTTATTTTAATTACTTTAAATGATTTGTGTTTTAGTCTCGAGTGAATTTGCATCACTTTCATTCGACAGGGTTGGAGCAACGAGAACGAACATGGGCCTGCAGGAGAAGATCAACGCCAACCCGACGGTATACGCGGTGGCCACACCGGCGCGCAAGAAATTTGACGTGGACGAGGCGCTTGACGAGGACGTCGCTGACCCGTTCGACTCCGATGAGGTCTTCGGTGAGTTTGCCAGACAAGCAACTGCTTCCGAGATTGCCGAAGTGTTAAACAAAACGTAAATGCTTATTTATTATGGACAGAAATCCTTCGACACATCAACGACCCAGAGCACCCTCTGACGTTGGAGCAACTCAAGGTCATGTCGCTCGAGAACATTCATGTGGATGATGCCAACTCGCGCATTAAAATCTACTTCACGCCCACGATTCCACACTGCAGGTAACCAACCAATGATTTATTTATTACTGGTATTTGCTTAATATGTATTATTTGACTTGTAATAGTATGGCGACACTGATCGGACTGTGCCTTCGCGTGAAGCTGCTGCGCTCGCTACCGCCGCGTTTCAAGGTGGACATTCTCATTACGCCGGGCACGCACTCGTCCGAGGCGGCTGTGAACAAACAGCTCAACGACAAGGAGCGTGTAGCCGCTGCGCTCGAGAACTCGCACCTGCTCACAGTTGTGAACAAGTGCATTGCGCACACGGACAAGTGAAGAGGAAGCGATCTGTCAGCTTTGAAAACCTAAGCAGTTTGTGAAGGCCCAAAAGTTGGGATACATATGATATTTGTTCACTGAAAAAAAAAGAATTATTGTGGACACTGACTGTAGATATTTTGCTGTCGAGACCGGATCATGCGATTGACAGCAGCGAGGCGCTCGAGTAGTTGTTCGCGCTCGTCAAGAAGGTGGTTAATGTCGAGATTGGACTTTTCCTCATCCTTGGGTGGGAAGAGATCGCTAGCGCTGGCATCGTTTCCAAACAGGTCTAATACTTCTTTGGAGTCTTCTAATGTTAACACCTCGCAGGACTCAAACAATGAAGATGGCGGTAGGTGCTTATCGATGCTATTTGCAACGACTCCGCTGGTGCTGGGACGTTCTGATCTGCGTTGTCGAGGAGTCATACTAGCAAGAGCTGGCTGAGCTGTCTTCACTCGTTTTTCGAAGTTGGATGCGTCGCGTTCTAACTGTGAAAGTGCTTCTGGTACCGCGAGTCCTGCCGTAGTCATCGGTCGGTTTTCATCAGAGGCATGAGCCTTCCGGAATGCAGCACTAAGCACTCGCATCTCATCCTCAAAATCATTTTCCCAGCGTTCTCGTTCGGTCTGGTACACTTTTTTATCATCTTGAATGCGTTCGAGTAGATCTTTCCGGGCACTGGCAGCGATTCGCAACAACTCCATCCTGCGTTGTTGATTTAGACGACGTAATTGCTCCGCCTTCCGTTTACGCATTGATTCGTCATTTGCTACTCGTTCACATTCAGTTTGTTCACGAAGTTTATCCTGTCGTTGTTTGCTTTCTCGATAGAGTGCTTCTCTCTTCTGTTGACGCTGCTGTTGGCGCTGCTCTTTGCTTACAGACACGGTTTTACTGAAGAATCCTTTCAGAATTGGTGCTGCGTCCTGCACATTAATCTCCGAGTCGGTATCTTCACAACTCCCACGCGAGTATGTACCAATTGTAGTCACTCGAGTCCTCATCACATCTTCTTCATCGCTTTCGTGATCATAATATCGCGGTCTCACTTTGTGCACGACAGTACTAGAACATTTTCTGCGACCATTGCTCTGCCGCAGACTGTCACCACGGCGATATCCAGAGCCATTTGAGAGCCAGCGAGATCTATCTGGAAGGTTGTCATCACTATCGTCTAGTGCGATATCACAAGTCACGCTTGGACACGGATCGAACGTTGATACTACTGAAGAAGTGCTGGGTAGATTGGTTGAACTGCTGAAGGCTCTCTCCGACGCAACTTGACGCAGTGTTGATTGACCGATGAAGGGTGTGGGAGTTGTGCGCGGTAACTCTGTTTCCTGCAAGGACATTCGGCCTTCCGAGGTCCTGCTAGTGTCACTTTGGACCATACCGACAGGTGTCACTTGAGTGCTACGAGAACCGCCGAGTTTCTTCCCTCCCGAGAAAATCCGAGAGCTCATGGCTAGGGAGACTTTGGACATCCACGATTCCTGCCGAACTCTGGTCTCCTGCTCGCTACACTCGCTCTGACTGCGAGTTTGAGCGGGGTCGACAGCATTGAAATCCGAGACTGTGTCATCGACGAAGCTGTTGGTAGTTTTCCGCTTGCGTCGCCATTCTGTCATGACGGACTGGGCCACAGCCACTGCGACGACCTGAGGTTGGTATTTGCCGCGTGGTTCACTCTGCTGTCCAATTTAATCCCTCGACGTCGCACAACGGTGCGAGATAGAAGAAACCTTGCCTAAATAGCTCGTCCTCGATGCCCCACCCCGCATGAAAGACACAAACTTAAATAGCTTTAGCGTTTCCTGAACATGTTGATCGCTTTTAGCTGACAGCATTTACGCTAGCACCGTAGAGTATTATTTGTTTTTTAACTCAGTACAGGGGTGCAAGTACAATTTTTTTTGTCAACTCAGAACTGCAGCTTCAACGTGAGCATGCAAACCCACCCTTTCATCCGCTTCAAAATTTGAAGATCAAAGTTAGGAAGCGCAAAACGCCATTTGCGTTTACAATACGGAGCTTACATTGCTGGAGGATGTAGCCTCTCATGTTAAATAACAGAATCTGTGCTGCTAGCAACTGGGATATCGCCCTCAGGGTATTCTGCCGCGTACGTCCACCACCACCACTGTCACATTGTCCATTGTGCCGAGCTCCACGGCGCGGTCTGCCAACATGCTGGCCATTTCCTGGACGTTGAGCCACGGATTGTTCCTGATGGATATCAAACACAAATCAAAAGTCAGTCCAGTTGCCTCGACTTCTCAGCCAGAACTATCCAATCTCGTCTCACCTGATACAAGAGGCCACCTGCTCATTCGTCAGTACGTCCCACAGGCCATCCGACGCCATTACAATGTACTCATCTTCTCGATGTAACTCGTGAACTGTGACTTCCGGGTCCGCGATGACGAGTTGACTCAGCTCGGCGTCTCCGAACGCTCGTGCGACTGCCAGACGCCCATTCACACGAGCTACGCCCTTCACATAGAGCACCATCCCTCCTTGTTCCTCAATGCGTAGCTTCTCCTGATCATTCGAGGCTTTATGATCCGTCGTCAGCTGCGTTACTTGAGCCACTTTATCTCTCTTTGCCACCATAATGGCTCGACAATCTCCAGTGTTACTCAGCACGAATGTATTGCCTCGAATCAACAGTGTTACGGCTGTAGCGCCTCCTTCACAATGTCCGTCCTTCTCGCGCTTTAAAATCTCCTCATTAATCGCCATACTGGCGGAATGGCATGCAGCGGCCAAGTCGCTCTTGTACTCTGGAGCTGCAAGAATATACACGGGAAACAGCAGTGCCAAAAGCGACGAAGCTCTCGCTCCACCATGTCCGTCATAAACGCCAAAGAATTGTGTATCCTCGCTCGCCCGGCCGTGTTTCAGCAGATTTCGGACCTTAAGCGCCGGAGCACGGCCTTCCACCACGAAGTTCTCGAGCACGCGCCCCTTTAGCAAATCTCCAAAGAACGGAGGCACCGAGCGCGGCGCCACCTCTAGCAAGCCACGACCATACAGATCCAGGTTGTCAATAGCGCGGAAGCGATCTTCGTTGCCCAGTCTGGCGCCGTTGCGCGTGCACACGCCGAAGCTGTGCGCCTTGTGAACGTTGAAGGCGATCTCTGGATCCACGGCTCCAATGGCCATCTCTGGCTGCGTCGACGTGCGTCGCAGCGTGGCCGCGGAGGACGTGCCGCCTCGAACGCTCTGCACATGGCTGGGCTGATCGACCGCCACGGATACAGCCGAGGAGCGGCGCAGGAAGCGCGCCAGCCGACGCCCGAAGAAGTTCGAGCGCTCGGCCTTGGCGAATTCCTCCGAGCCGATGACGCTACGACGAGGACTCCCAGGACTGCGACCCAGGAGCATCAATGCTGCAGCTAATTGCTCTGTGCCCAACGGTTGAGCTTGAATTATGCGGAGCTGTTCCTGCCCTCGTGCCTGTTTGGCTGCAACAGCAACATGCAAAATGAAATGAGCCACAAACCAACCCCTAAACGCTGTTTATTTTCTGGCCATAGACATCCGACTATTTTTTTTTAGGACTAAATGGGTACATTTTTTTAGTCTGCGAAGCTCAATTTGCCTTGACAACTTTCGGTCACTGCACGGCGTCCGGCTGCGTGTCCGGGCGAGAACTCGCGAATGCCGGCAGCTGCTCGAGCTCGCCCACTACACGCGAGATCGCTGGGTACTCGGCCAGATCCACCTTGCATATGCGCGCGTTGTGCACCTGCGGCAGCAGATACACGTCTGCTAAGCTCACTTCGTCACCCACGCAGTAACGCCCGGCGCAGCGTGTCAACTCGTCCTCGACAGCTCGGAGTCCGCGCTCGATCCAGTGCTTGTTCCAAGCCATGACGAGCGCTTGTCGCTCCTGATCACTGGCAGGCGACTGTAAATCCGCTACCTGTTACCGTCGCGAGAAAAATAAGCTTCCAGTGTGAACTGATACGAACTAGATTCCTAATCTGACTCACCTTGGCTGACAAACCAATGCTCTGGGCTGGCTGGGTGTCGCAGCCAATGATGCCGGACAAGTTACGCACTTGGGCGCGCTCGATCAAGTCCCTGGGGAGCAGTGGCTTCGCCGGGTAGGCCTCTTCCAAGTACTCGAGGATGGCGCCGGACTGGGCGATCGCGTGCCCATCCACTAGCATCACAGGCACGCGCTGTAAACATGACTAAGTTAGATAAAAAAAAAAAATATGTAGTATCGATAGTGCGCGCCGTGGAACGACGTACCTGGTTGGGATTCAGCTTTCGGAACGCGTCTAGGCGTTGCTCTCCACCACCCGCCGCCCTCAGATCTACTGGATGGTACTCGTACTGGATTCCTTTCCATACCAGTGCGATCCGAACGCGCCAGGAGCAGCTACTCTGCCAGTAGCTGAACAACTCGATCTTGGGCATGGCCTTATGGGGTTTAGGAAACCGATTGATGCCGAGAGAAGAAAATCAGGATATGGGACGAACGCCTGCTCACTTCATCGTAGTGAGCAAGCTGCACCTCGTTTGATTGCTGGGAGATCTTCGAGTTCTCTTTTACCTTGCTTGAACACCGGTACTATGGATCACGACGCCAAGTAACACTCGCACACACGTGGCGACAAGAACAATAAGGTCACTCATCAACGCAAATCGGACCAGCAGGTTGGTCTTCTCGATTGTTGTCAAGCAGAGTTCCTCTGAATCAAGTTGTTATTGCTGTGTCCAAATTGGTCAAAAAGCTGCGCCAGATTGAGCTTCACGCGTACATTCGGCAAATCAACTTGAGTCAAGTTGATTCGCTGGAGTTCGGCCCGGATGTACACAGAGAAGAGCGTGGGCGCGATCATCGCGGCGATGCTCGGATGACGGGCAAATAATTGCAAAGACTGGGACTTCGTTCCGACTATCATCGTCTTCTCGATCTCTTTCTTCAGTGACGACGCTGCTCTCGTCGTCCACAACTGTAGCTTACACGTGCGCTTATCTACTCAAACCAGCGATGCAACATCTCACTCTGGTTGACAGTTGTCTCTACGCGATCGCTCAAACCGCGGCGCTGATCAAAAGAAGACCATCAACTTGATCAAATGAAAACCATCAACTTCAATGTGACGACCATCGGAATCGCTCCAAATTTGTGTTTTCACATCACGACCTTTCCTGATCCAAATCAAACCCGGAAAAGATACGATGGCGTTCGTCCGAGTCTTGCTGCTCTCTCTGCATCTTGTGGTCCTCACCAACAGCTACGCTCAGCATTGCTCACTGCTGCGCATTCCTCCTGCCAATGTAGAGTACGCGTTGCTACACATTAACTCATTCAATCCGGTCGAGGACATGGGCAACTCCGCCTGCGAATCCTTCGGCGTGCCCAAGTACATGTGTGGCAACGTCAAGAAGGAGATCCTGGAGACAATGCAGGAAATGGCTCGATTGGCCATTAGAGAAGGCGTCGTGAACGTGTCGCTGGATCACTCCTTGACCTACGACATATTGATGTTCGATGAAGTGACTCAGGAACAAGTAAAAGCTCCCGAACCGATTGTGGTCTACCCGGAGCAGCCGCTAGTCGATACAATATCGGCGTATTGCACACGTTTTAAACTGGACAAGCAAAGCTGTGAGAACGCCGCAGTTGGCGTTCGTGATCTCTTGGCGAGAGATTGGGGCTGCGATGATCCAGTCAAAGATGAAGGGACAGAGTTCGTGGAGATACCAGTTTTACTGGACCAACAAGAACATCAAATTAAGGTGGACATGTCGAGCAATGGCACCGTTGAAGCTGCGAAGTTTTGCTTGGAAAGGAAGCTTCATATCGCGGAATGTGCAACTCTTATTCGCATTGTCCGTGAACAGATCGATAGTTTGAAATCTAAACGAAACTCAAAGGAAGACGATGGGCGCGTGAGTACTGGTGGGCGACGTCGACTCCGAGTGAATAGCCCGATAGCTACGCGTCTGTACCCGCAATCCGAGCGCATCTACGTTAAAGTGGACTGGGAGTATGAGTTAGAGGAGGAAAATGTTCCAGAAGAAGTATGTCTCAACTCTGGCTACTCCACCACGCCAATTGCGTGTTTTACTGTTCCTCAAACAACACCCCTATACTTCTCTCGCGTTGCTGGGGAAGGCTACCACATATTATACTTCACCAACAAGACTGATAACGAGATTTTGGCCGCCGCAGCTTTCCAAATCGTGCTTCCTAAAGTGGACTTGATGGAGGTATTCACCGGGTCTAGCAACGCCAACAGCGACTTTCTGGTGGCGAAAATCCGCACGACATTTTTTGATCCGTTCGATCCTGCATTCCGAGTCTGCGTCCTGCTCGACGACTCCTTCGACTGTCTGAACTCCGAGTGGATGGTTGTCGACGAGCAAGAGTTACGTCATGGCACACACAAAGAACCCATGCATCAAAGCGTGACCTTCCGGTCGCCTGTGGATCACGTTCCATTCACTGGTGCAGGTGAGCATGAGATGAGTGTCCTGCTTCTTATGGAAAACAACAAGGTAGTGTATATTTCCAACACGTTAGCCTTCAGAGCTGAGCCAAGGGTAAATTCCCCCGAAATTACTTCAAGGCTGCACGTACTGGATCCAAGACTGCACACTCCTCAACGTCCTAAACTTTGTCCAGAAATACTGCGCTCAACGCCAAGCTTGCGCTGGATCTGCGATCTTTGGCGTCATGAGTGGGGAATATACTCTCAGAACGGCGAAGACGGTATTATTCGTAAGATATTTCGACATGTCGGCACGAAGAGCAAATCGTACGTCGAATTTGGCACTGAGAATGGTCAGGAATGCAACACGCGGCTGCTACGACAAATTCACGGCTGGAAAGGCCTTCTAATGGATTCACGTCACGAAGATGAAAGCATCGAGTTACATCGCGAATTTATCACTCGCGAGAATTTCATGCCGCTTCTTACTGAAAAATACCGGAGACTTGTTCCTCAAGATCTCGATCTGCTGTCTATCGACGTGGACTTTAACGACTTTTGGCTGCTCAACGCTGTCGACTTGACGCGTGTGTCTCCCCGTGTGATAATAGTCGAAGTTAACGCTCATATCCCACCGAACGAGGCTCGAACGGTACAATACGATGATAGCGAGGATGGAAGTGGCAGCTGGGATGGGTTCTCGGCATACTTTGGCGGTAGCGTAGCTGCATTCTACCACTGGGGTGCTCGCAACGGATATTCCTTAGTGTACTGCGAGTCACACGGTGTTAACTGCTTTTTCGTGCGCAGTGATGTTCTTGGTGCCAATGTGTCGGCAGTGCTTGGCCCCGAGCAACTACAAAACCCACCAAACTTCTTTGGTCAAGGCTGGAGTTACCCAGATACGTGGCAATCTCACCACAAGTGGGTATGGGTTTGAATGTATCTCTATTCGCTGTGTAGTATTGTGTACTGTCTTCTATAACAGCCTGCCTTGCCATCCCTGGTTCACCTTAATCATGACACTGGCGCAACATGAGCTTGTTTCGATAACCCATTTATCCCCATGAGTATCTTCGTCGTTCTTAATTGCGTTGAAGTCGACAATCCGGAGAAAGACCTGGCGCTGATCCGTAATAGCGCGTTCTACAACAGTGACAACAGCTCCGCAAGGAATGCGCCCCACCGGTGCTGCTGACAGCTCTGGTTCCATGCGAACGGGAGCACCCGAGTCTTGTACACAGCGATACGCTTCAGTCCTGGGTATAGGCGGCGATGACGTCCAAGGACCCTCGACCTCGTTTAGAACAGACTCGTTATCTAGCGAGCGCTCGACAACCCACGCCGCACCGTCGAAGTATCTCTCATGCAGTCTCAGGAATACAAGTCCATCCGGAGCCACAATGGACTCCACAACTTCGACTACGTCACCGTAGAGCACGTAGCCAAGCTCCGATATTGCCAAATCAGCACTCCCTCGAACCTTACAGCCCTCTACAACACAGCGGAAGAACCTGCTCGGTCGTTCATAGTCGCCATTGCAAGTGTATGGACCTTGATGGGGCTCCAGAAGGATTTCGTTGCGAATGGAGCGGCAGGGAACCCACGCCTCTTTAATTTGTCGCTCAACTCTGCCATCTTCTTCTTTGCTAGAATATTTTGTTTCAAAGCGCATAACCGCAGTGGGGAGATGTGGTCCTTCTAGTCGCACCATAGGATCGCCCTGTTCGTTGCAAATGGGAGCCGTAGCTCGGAACACTCGACCCAGCGGGATGTAACCAAGCAGAGGGGACGCAATGTTGTGCTTCACTCGAACCGATACACCTCCACTCTTGTCGCGATGACACACGCGATAATATTGGTCAAATTTCCACTTGCCTGATGAAAAGAATGCGTAGTTAACATCGTTATTGACCATGCACACGGATGCAACATTGCAATAACAGAATAACTTACTCGCAACATGCGCTGAAGACGCAGCAGCAGCACGCTCGAGATCCTCTACGCATGTCTTGCATTTAGGATCCAACAGTTGAGCCTGTCGCTTGGAGAAACTCGTCTTGGGCAGACTCCGAAAGCACTGAACGCAGCGTTTGAGGCGCGGCTGGGCATCACCTTCCACCTTCACTTTATCAACGCACGCTTTGCACTTGCTGTAGCCACCAAGAGAGGTACATTGATTAGGTTCATATTCCGGACTAGCCCATTGAATGAAAGCAAACACGAACGAATTTGGCTTCAACTGCTGATGGTGTGAGAAGGACTTTAGTGGCAGTGACTGGTTGCACTCAATGCACGTGCGCTGCTCTAGCTCTGCATTAATACCATTACTGCCTGTCGGCTGTCCCTTGTTTGGCTGCCGCGCACACGTCTTGCATTTGCTGTATACCAAGACAACTGGTGAGCATTCCTCCGTTAATCTGCCATTTTGTCGGGTTGTGGCAACGTACGGGCTCGGTTTCTGCTTCTGGTTGCGCGAAAACTCCCCTGAGGACAGCGATCGGCCGCAAGAAGCGCACTCGCGGTAGTCGACAAGCGCCATGGCCCTGGCCGCGGCCGTCTGAGTCCCGTGGTCCATGCTCCTCCAGCAGATCCTATTGGCGCTGGTCAGAACACCAAGCAGAAATACCGTAGTTGGAAAAAGAATAACAAGATGTATACATAAACATACCCAATCTATCAAATGTCAGAGGAAAATGAAAGAATTCAAATTCAAACCTTGTCATCTGAAATTACAGGTTATTGGTTTTATTTCCTTCAAAGTCTGGTGTCATAGCGTGGACGGCTGCCAGCCATCGGTGACTTGCGCAGTTCAGATTTATCCCCCGACGTGGCAGGCGGCAGGTCGATCGTAAGGGACTCAGACGACAGACACACAACAGAATGAAGGTCATCGATAAGATTAACGCGAGCGTAGAACGCCAGGAGGTCTTCTACTCGTTCGAATTCTTCCCCCCAAAGACCCCCGCGGGCGTGGACAATCTGTATGCGCGTATGGACCGCATGGCGGCACTAGAGCCGCTCTTCTGCGATATGACGTGGGGCGCCGGCGGCTCCAGCGCACAGCTCACACTGGAGCTCAGCGCGAACGCACAGAAACTCAGCGGACTCGAGATGCTCATGCACATGACGTGCACCAATATGGCCGAGGCAGACATCAAAAAGGCGCTGGACGAGGCCAAAGACGCTGGCATTCAGAACATCCTAGCGCTACGCGGAGACCCCGTGCGCGGCGCCTCCAGCTTCGACGAGTGCGACCGTGGCTTCTCGCACGCTGTGGATCTGGTGCGCTACATTCGCGAGAAATACGGCAACCACTTCTGCATCGGTGTCGCCGGATACCCCGAAGGTCACGTGGAGATTAAGGACAAGAAGGCGGACATCCAATACCTCAAGGAGAAGGTGGACGCAGGCGCCGATTTTGTGATCACGCAGCTCTTCTACGACGTTCAAGTGTTCGTGGACTTCGTCAAGGAGTGCCGTGCTGTGGGTATCACAGTGCCGATCATCCCGGGTATCATGCCCATTCAGAACTATGGCGGCTTCGAGCGTATGACGTCCTTCTGCAACACCTTCGTACCTGACGAAGTGCGTAAGGCTTTGGAGCCTATTAAAGACAACGACGAAGCTGTCAAGGACTACGGTGTGCAGCTCGGTATCACTATGAGTCAGCAGTTGATTGACGCTGGTGTACCCGGTCTGCACTTCTACACACTCAACCTGGAGCGCTCAGTGCGTCGCATTCTGGAAGGACTGTCCTCTCTATCCAGTCGTGTGCCACGCCGTGAACTACCGTGGCAGACGTCGACGCTGTCGAAGCGTGCGTCCGAGAGTGTGCGTCCCATTTACTGGTCCAACCGACCCAAGAGCTACGTCCACCGTACCGCTATGTGGGACGAATACCCGAACGGCCGCTGGGGTAACAGCGAGAGCCCCGCGTTCGGTGAGCTCACTGAATCTCACTTTGCGCCCTCCAACACATCGACGCCGAGAGAGCGCCGTGCGATGTGGGGCGAGGCCCCTGCCGCCAAGGAAGACGTTCGCCGCACGTTCGTACAGTACGTGCGTGGCGAGATCTCGAGCCTGCCGTGGTGTGATGCCGCACTGCACGCCGAGACGTCGACCGTCCAGCAGGAGCTCGCCGCCGCCAACTCTGCCGGATTCCTGACGATCAACAGCCAGCCACGCGTCAATGGCGCGCTGTCTGACGATCCGATGTTCGGCTGGGGTGGCCCTGGAGGCCGCGTGTACCAAAAGGCCTATGTCGAGTGCTTCGTGTCGCCCGAAAACATGAAGATCATCATTGAAAATGCTGCCAAGAAGCCGTCGATACAGTACCACGCCGTGAACCTGAATGGCCACTCGTACTCGAACGCCAGCAAATCTGCTGTGGCTGTGACGTGGGGCGTCTTCCCCAACAAGGAAATCCTGCAGCCCACGATCGTAGACAGCAGCAGCTTCTTGGTGTGGAAGGACGAGGCGTTCGCGCTGTGGCTCAAACTGTGGGCGTCACTGTATGAACCCGGCAGCCAATCGGCTAAACTATTGCGCGAGATCCACGACACGTACTTCCTGGTGAGTATCGTGGACAACGACTTTGTGAACGGCAACATCTGGGACCTGTTCGAGGCTTCAGTCTCCCCTGCCACCTCGCCGTAAGGACGAGAGGAGAAGATGAAATTGTGGCCATAGAGCTGTGTGCTTGTGGCATTGAATGCCCGATCCCGTCCTCCCAGTCGCAGGAGCTGGTTGATACAGAAGACCGCTTGGTGTCACTGGGACGATGGAGAGGCACGCAGCTAAAGCCACACTTTGCATGTTGCGCATGTTGCACTGGACTAGAGGAGATTGCCACTAAAATGGCTACAATATCAACCACTGCACCAGCATCTAAAACCCATTTTTGTGCGCATTTTTAATCTTGAACTAAGTAAAAGGGAACACAAAATGACGCAATTATCGATGAAAGAGGCTGGCGGCGTGCCCAGCGTATGTGTTCGCGAGCTTCATGGCCACCACGGGCCCGTCAACGCCGTGCGCTTTAACTGTACGTGCTTCGCCAGTGCTCTGCCGCCTCCCTGTGTCTATGGCGCCGCTCTAATGCTGTAATTCATTGCAGCTAAGGGCACTTATGTGATGACCTGTGGTCAAGACAAGACTGTGAAACTCTGGAACCCTCACCGTAACGGCGTGGAGAAGCCGGATGAGGCGCTGCTGGTCAAGTCTTACGAGGGCAGGCACGGCTACGATGTACAGGACGTCGCAATGTACGGTGGTTGAACTGGTTTTGGGTGGGGATGGTGGGAAATAGTGATGATTGGATTGGATGCCTTGTGTTGCTGTTGCAGAGCTCATGACAACGCCAAGTTCGCGTCGTGCGGTCGAGACAAAGACGTTTTCATGTGGGACGTGCCTACTGCTAAAGTTATTCGCAAGTTTGAAGGCCACGAGCATGTAAAGAACGAACTTGCGCGCTGGAATGGGGTTTGAGCTGACATGTTCGTATCGTAGAGTGTGAATTGTGTGCGCTATAATGTGGATTCATCTGTGCTGCTGAGTGGATCCTATGACAAGACGATCCGAGCCTGGGACATCAGGTGAAGAGGTTTCGTTTTTGCAGTGGTCTTTTAGGGAGGGGATACTAACTTGCCGTCCTTGTTGAATTAGAGCTCGAAATGCATACACACCGATTCAGATTTTGGACGACTTCCGAGATAGCGTCACGTCGATGGTATTGACAGACCATGAGATCGTTGCAGGGTACACAAGCTTTTGTTCGTGTACTTCTTCGTCAAATACGAGGGTTAATCTCATGGGTATTACAGGTGTGTTGATGGTGTTGTGCGCACATACGACCTTCGAGCTGGACAGCTCTTCCGCGAGCATATTGACGGTACGGGTGTACAGCAGATAGGCTACTGCCATAATAGATTCGTTGGATGCAATGCTGATACTATTCACTTTATGATGCAGAACCTGTGGTGTCAGTAGCACATTCCCCCGATGAGCGCTTCATCCTTGCTGGGTGTCTCGATGGCTCCATTCGACTGATTGAGAAAGCTAACGGTACAGAAGTCAAGAGGTACGATCGCATGAATAGTACTACTACTCCAATTTCATTTACTAATTCCTTACGTCGTGTCCTAGCTATCGTGGCCACAGCGTGCAAGATTACAAAATCGAATGCGGATTCTCAAGTGACGGAGCCTTCGTGCTTAGTGGCTCCGAGGACGGAAAAATCTACTGGTGGGATCTCGTGGACGCAACGCACAAGCGCTCATGTGTTGCGCACAACAAGCCCGTTCGGGCACTCGCATGTCATCCTGAGAGTAGCATGTTTGTTACTGGCTGCATCGATGGCTCGGCAAAAGTCTGGTCTCAAAGTTGATCAATAAAGGACCGTGCTGATCTTTTCCAAAGCATTAAATATGTAGGAATCTAGACTCAGGATTTACGACAGCGTGTAACGCATACCACCGATAGTCATGAGCAGATCGTTGGCACTCGCCTTCTCTTTCTTCTCCTTGGAGAAGATTGACGCAAACACTTGGCTCTTCTCTTTGGCCTTCGAGATGGATTCACTCGCGTCCTTGACGATTTTGGAGAGTCTCGCATCCTTCATCTCACCCAAATGCTCCAGCTTCCTTTTGTTCTTCTTTCCTTTGTCGTGCATTTTGTCCTCCTTTGCCTTCTTCTTGTTCTTCTTGGCGCGTTTCTCTTCGGCCTTGAGCTCCAGCAGCTTCTCTTGCTTCGTCTCGTATTGCTCGTCATCCAGCAGCAGCGTCACAACATCCTGCTCTCCAAACGATTTGCCACACACCAGACACTCTTTGGTATTGACGGCCTTAAGAGCACGTTCCGAAAGTACGCAGCCGCACGAGAAGAGCACTACAAACGCCTGCTTGCCGTTAAACTCGACCATTGTGACGGGGCAGCTCCAGAGTGCACCCTCCTCTTTCTTCTCGCGCGTCACACGACACGCTACGACGTCCTTAAGCGACGTGATGTGGCGGAATCGCTCGGGCATCGATTTAGCCAGTAAACGCTCCAGCAGCTCCTGCTTGTTGAACAGATTGCCCAAACGACACGCCACTATAGGTTCGCGCAGCGGCTCTGAGGATAGAGCGCAGGTACGTGCCTTCTCCAGACGTAGTGCTTCTTGGTCCGCCTTCTCTCCGCGCGCCTTGACGTTTGCGTGGCGCATGAACTTGCGCTTCACGGCGATCACTCCGCCATCGTTTCCCATGGTTTAGTTTTACTTTCTTCTGGAATAGTCTTGGAAATGGGTCAGTAGACCATTTGAGACTATAAAATTGGGTCAGTAGACCAATTGAGACTGTAAAATTGGATCAGTGTAGCCATTTTACTAGTTGAAGTCGTGAACCAATCGATCCTTCCTTTACATTTTGTGTGTAGGCACGGAAAGCTAGTGGAGAAGGCAAACGATAGCTGTCACAGAGCGCTCTGATCATATTCATTTTTGTGTTTCATGTATTCGGCACTACTCTGTTGCAAGTTGGAGCTGATTCTGGTGGCGTATCCATTCTCCTCATATAATAAGCAACCTCAATGCACTACAGCGCAATGGAGCTTACTTCTTGGGCTGGGGGCGGCATCGCCAGGCCTTGAGGCGCGTGGCGTTGATGCGGATGAAGCCCTGAGCATCAGCCGGGTTGTAGTCGAAGTTGGCACCGCCGCCCTCCTGGTCCATGGAGGCCAGGTCAGCGCTGTACAGAGCCTCGTCCGAGTGGCGGCCGATCACAGTCACGTTGCCCTTGTAGAGCTCCAGGTTGACGAAGCCCGTGATGTTCTGCTGCGAGAAGTCCACGGCGTTGCGCACAAAGTCCATCTCGGGGGCGAACCAGAAGCCGTTGTAGCAGTACTCGGCGAATTTGGCCGACAGCGAGTCGCGCACCTTCATGACCTCACGGTCCATGCAAAGACCCTCGAGGTCAAGGTGAGCGTGACGCAGGATGGTGCCGCCGGGGGTCTCGTAGCAGCCACGCGACTTGATGCCGACGAAGCGGTTCTCCACGATGTCAATACGGCCAATGCCGTGCTTGCCGGCCAGTCTGTTAAGCTCCAGGAACAGGTCCAGAGCGCCCGTAAGCTCCGGGGTCTTGGCCGTGAGGTTGGTTACACCCACGGGGATACCCTTCTCGAAGCGGACCTGGATCTGCTCGGCGGCGTCGGGGGCGTCCTTGGGGTCCACCGTCATCTTGAACATCTCCACCATAGGAGCGGTCATGGGGTCCTCAAGCATGCCAGCCTCGTACGACGTGTGGTACAGGTTCTCGTCCACACTGTAGGGGGCCTTGGGGGTGGCGTCGATGGGGATGTTCTGCTCCTTGGCGTACTGGATCAGGTCGGCACGGCCCTTGAACTTCTCAATGAACTCAGCGTCACGCCACGGGGCGATGGTCTTGAGCTGGGCGTCCAGAGCCTGAGCGCACAGCTCGAAACGCACCTGGTCGTTACCCTTGCCCGTGGCGCCGTGGGCCACGTACTTGGCGCCCTCGGACTGAGCAATCTCCACCTGCTTCTTAGCGATCACAGGGCGAGCCAGCGACGTGCCCAGCAGGTAGCGGGACTCGTAGATGGCGTTCGATTTGACCGCTTCGAAGATGTAGTGCTTGACGAACTCCTCGCGCAGGTCCTCAATGTACACCTTCTTGGCGCCCAGAGACAGAGCCTTGGCACGCACCTTCTCGTAGTCCTCGCCGTGCTGGCCCACGTTAGCGCAGTAGCAGATGACCTCGAAGCCCTTGTTCGTGAGCCACTTGAGGATGATGGACGTGTCCAGGCCGCCGCTGTAGGCGAGGACGACCTTGTCACCGGGTTGGGCCTTAACGCTCATGTTTGGAGTGGAGGTTGCTTGGTCTTCTTGGGCGAATTCCAGAATGAGATCCTTCCAGGCAAAGGGTCGGCTCTGGAGCAACGTACGCCGCTCAAATCCCCTCTAAACAGCATGTTGATCCCGGATTCTAATCACCATGATGAGGCTGGGCGAAACGGAATGTGTTATATCACAGGATATAGGTAAATGAGGTACAGAAATTCTTATTTCTTACTTAATATAGGTGTATTATGTATAAATAACTGCAGTGTGAACTTATTATCAAAGCCTATTCTTTGATACAGTAGTTGAAGGCAACTGAAAGATTGTTCTCGTGGCCATCGAAAGATGCGCATCAAATCAAAGCCACAGCGCGCTGGGCCAGCCATTCCACACTCCTGGTTATCAGATACGGGGTTAGTTTCTAGAAGAACACACGCCGCGCTTTGGTCAGCTCTTAGCAATGACATGAGGAGGAAACGATGACCAGAGCAGCAAAATGTCTTTATGCAATTGGACTTGAAGGTATGGTCAAAGTTATTCTTTGGCGGACTAAGTACTGTAGTACTTCGTGATGATCATTGCAGTCCTTGTGCTCAGTTGACTAGAATAAGGATAACAGAATACGAAGCTTAGGCCACAGCTAACCGACCTCTGAAGAAAAGCAACACAAGAACAATTGGGTTCAATCTTTTCATGTTTCCGGAGTACGAGAACGATCTCGCATCATCACGTTAACCTCATATAGCGCAAAGCAGACCCGAGCCACTCGCACATCTTCTCTAACTCGGCTGTTAAGCCACTAACGGGCGCAGACTTGCCTTCTTACTGGGGCACACCGTGGAAGTACACAATGGCGCGGATGCACTAATATCACGCATGAAAAGAAGCCAAAAGAATGTTAGTACGAATGGCACTAGGCAAATATGCATCCCATCAAAAAATAAAACACTTACGTCTCCCTGGTGCATGGCGTGGAATGCGTCGTTGATCTGTGGCAGGTCAAACTTGTGAGTAATGAACTCGTCCACCTTGATCTCCTTCTGCATGTACTTGTTCACCAACTCTGGGACACCGTCACGGCTCTTGAAGCCACCGAAAGCGCTACCAGCCCAGCGACGACCCGTGACGAGCTGGAACGGGCGAGTGGCCAGCTCCACTCCAGAAGCGGCAACACCGATAATGCACGACTGGCCCCAGCCCTTGTGGCAGCACTCGAGTGCAGCGCGCATGGTCTCCGGACGACCGATGCACTCGAACGTGTAGTCGAGGCCACCGAAACCCTCTTCCTCCGTCATCTCAATAAGCACCTCCTGGATCGGGCGGTCGGCGTAGTCCTTGGGGTTCACACACTCAGTGGCACCGAACTCCTTGGCAATGGGGAACTTCTTGGGGTTAATATCAATGGCGATGATCTTGCGAGCACCAACCGCCTTAGCACCCATGATACAGGCGAGACCCACAGCGCCCAGGCCGAACACGGCCACAGTCGAGTCCTTCTCCACCTTCATGGTGTTCACGACAGCACCATAGCCGGTGGTGATGCCGCAGCCAAGCAGGCAAACCTTGTCCATCGGAGCCGAGGGGTCGATCTTGGCCACAGAAATCTCGGGCAGAACCGTGTACTCGGAGAAGGTGGACGTGCCCATAAAGTGGAAGAGCGTCTCACCGTTGCGCTTGCACGTGAAGCGCGAGGTTCCGTCGGGCATAAGACCCTTGCCCTGCGTGTTGCGGATGATGGAGCAGAGGTTCGTCTTGCTAGACTTGCAGAACTTGCAGTTGCGGCACTGCGGCGTGTAGCACGGCACGACATGGTCGCCCACCTTGACGCTGGTCACGTCGGGGCCCACGCTCTCCACGATGCCGGCGCCTTCGTGTCCCATGATGACGGGGAAGATACCTTCCGGGTCCGCGCCCGAGCGCGTGTACTCGTCCGTGTGGCACACACCCGTCGCCACGATCTTGACGCGCACCTCACCAGCGCGAGGCGGCGCCACAATCACATCTTCGAGGACGTAGTCCTCCTTGGCGGCCCAGCATACGGCGGCCTTGCACTCGATCGGTTGCGGGGAGCTCATGATTGTTGGGCGAGGTCCAAAGCGATGATGTGGAGAAGAGGTCAATTTGAAAGTGTGCGGCTATCGGATACCGTCCGATGATTAGACTCGGATCCTGGTAGGACGTGAAAGTCGACTGACGCAATTGGTTTTTGTTCCAGACCATTTTACTTGCGAAATGTGAGAATCGAGTTAAGCGGGTTATTACATATGCAATTCACATCTTATGCTTCTAATATGTCAATCTATCAGCACATAATCTACAATATGAGGATATGTGATATCGGAATTTCACTTCGTGCCTCAAAGCTTCGCATGTCGTTGCTGGTGCAATGATCCTGACTGTAAGGCTCAGCCCCGACAGACTGATATGTTGACGACCAGCACTCACACTACGCGCCCCGTTGCTAATACAGATCATCCTGTCCTTACTAAATGAATTCTTTTTTACGTTGGCAAAACCACAGCGTTGACGTAACAAAAAAAAACTGGCCGTTGCCAAGGTCACCATCAGACACACCAACAATATTAGAGAGTGGAGGATGGTAAGGCCGCAAATAGGATCGCCATGAGCGCGGAACTGCTAGCTCTAGAAAGACGCATTGAGATTTTCACATCAGAAGGACAAACTACGTCGGCAACCTTACCAAGGAGCACAAAAGGAAAACACGCACGTAAAAATAATTGTTAGTCGATTTACATTGTGACCTGCACTTTTTAACCGTTGGGTGCCTTCCAAAACTGTTCTAAAACGGTCTTATCAGTTTAATCGGTAATTTATTTTAAATTACAAAACGGTTTAAAGCGTATCAAACCGGTTGCTGGAACGCGACTTTCGGGTATAGTGAAGTTCAGTTATGTGTTTAATCATGTTGCTACTTAAAGGTCGGATTAGAATTGTTTGATGAGACCAAAACGTGGTCTCACCAAACAATTCACCGTGATTAAACTTTAATGTACGGCTTTTTTATGCCAATTTTGTAAGGCACCCATTTTGGGAGAGGTCACTGAAATAAATTCAAGCCAATCACTTTGGACGTTTCACTGCTGTATGTCGGCGTGGTCTGACCTTGGCTGCTTTCTAAGAGCTGTCTTGGCCCAAGAAAACTCAAGAGCTTCGAACACTCGTGCGCAACACCTCGCTAGTGCACTGCTATAATGACTAGCTCGCTGGTTGCCTATAAAGCAAGTCCTGGACCAATCATCAGTCTATTGAAATTAGCGAGGTGCTAGATGTAGATTACATGTACTTCATGTACAGTGGGTACAGAAAGTCTATGTCCAAACAGCTGGCGAGATCAAATTCTGAATTTTTGAGTAGTGCATAGATCCAGTCAATCAAAACAAAATATCATCGAATAGCACAGACTGAAACGAATCAGAAGCCATTTTCACTTTGACGAGACTATATTTGCATCGCAAGTTATGGGACGTCGAGTCCCTCAGTAGGAAAAATAGGTGACAAAAAAGTCAATGCCCAAGCCACTCATTCTGGTTTTTGCCATGACTGGCACAAGGTAAGAGTCCTGAAACGCAGACACCCTCATTGCCGCAGTACTAACAGTTTTTTAATTGACCTAGAGTGGAGCATGGGAAACAGATTCGCGACCTCTGTGTCGCAAAACGCCACGACGGCCAAACCTATCAGGCTATCGCTGATGAGCTCAAGCTCCCAGTCTCTAGCATCAAAACTATTGTTCCAACGCAAAGAAAAACGGCCACACGCACTCCCTACTACGTTCTGGCCGCCCTCGAAAGACGACTGTCCGCCAGGACCGCCAGATCGTGAGGGAAGCGGAGAAAAATCGACGCCTTAGCGCTGAAAAGCTGGTCAGTATGGTCGAAAAGGACCACGGCATCGCTCTGTCAAAGCAAACAGTGCGAAACCGCATTAAAGATGAAGGCTTTAATGGTCGTGCAGCTCGAAAAAAAACTTTTTGAGCAAGAAAAACATCAAAGCGCGATATGCGTATGCACTACAGATGTTGAAGTTTAGGGACGATGACTGGAAGAAGGTAGTGTTCAGTGATGAGTCGTCCGTCTGGTTCACTGGGGCTGCGGGGAGGGTTTTCGTTTGGCGTAAGGTTGGGGAGGAGTTCAAGAACGAATGTCTAGCACCTGCATTTAAGTCTGGGAAGGAGACCTTGATGATTTGGGGATGTATCACCTACGAGGGTGTGGGTGCACTTCACATGTGTGACTCAAATATTAGTGGTGCGTCCTACAAGAGCATTTTGGAGCAAAATCTGCAAGCGACGGTCTCTGTGCTTGGTACTGGCGACGACTACAAGTTCGTACAGGATGGCGCTCCCGGTTATCGTGCTCGTCTAGTCAAAAACTACCTGAAAGAAAAAAAAGTGGAGCTTCTACCCCATCCAGCCCAGAGCCCAGATCTCAACCCAATTGAGAATCTCTGGGCTCTCGTGAAGCAAGAGCTGTCCAAGCGTCCTGCATCAAGTGTAGACGATCTGAAAGAGAAAATTCAGGAGATTTGGTATGATATCGAGCCGAAAACCGTTCAAGATCTCTACCACTCCATACCGAAGCGCCTACTTCAAGTTAAAGACAATCGAGGTGGCCACACGAAGTACTAAAGGTGCGTGAAGACTTTAGATAGTCTTAGGATGGTTACTGCTACAACATGAAGTGCAATAGTGTTATCAGCAGCTCTAAAAGTTGAGAATAAAAAAATGGATGTTCACTTTTTTTGCCATATAACTTTGCTTTTTTTTTTTTACAGGGCACAACTTCTAGCAGCTTCTATCAATCTGGTCAAATGATAGTCTGTTGGAAAGCTTTCACATCAGGCATTCATATCATGCATAGTAGCCAATTTAAATACCGTCAGGGACCAAACGCCGTGGGCCAACGTGGTCAAGGAGACGTTGGACGTAGACTTTCTGTACCCACTGTATGTAGCAGTTCATTTACAATTATAAGCTACAACCTTACAAAAAAAGAGAGTTGAAAAATCAACAACACGGCTAGCAACGTTTATTTGTAGGCGACTAGAATTAGGTGAAATGTCAGCGAACTGATGCAGGTAGAATCGTACGTTGTCTGCTTAGAGCTGTTGATAGGCACAACAAGACTAACGTAGAATTAAATATCGCTCCCAGTTAGTGTACGATGCTGTGAACTAACTTGTTGCCAAGTACACTACCGTATTTGTCGGATCGAATGAGACATACGGATCAAGTAAGACATCAAATTCATAAGGGTGACACCCCTTCTGATTCACTTACAAAACTCTTTAAATTAATGAAATGCGACAATAACGAAAATATAATATATCGAAATCCAAACAAGTTCTGTGATTTGAAGTTACTCAGGCACAACCGCATCTTCCGGAGGTGGCAACAAGTAAGTCCTAAATTTTCCATTGGCATCTCGAGGGCCTTTACGCGGCCAGGATTGTCGATGCACACTCCGGTTTAGTCCATATTGAAGAGGCTTCCATACCGATCTATCTCAGTGTATGCGGTAGAAAAAAACCGCCGTCCTCAACTTTACAGTTTATTGTCCGGGAAAAGACGTCAGCAATTTCCTAAATTGTACAAATATTTTCAATGAAATGAGTATAACCTTTAAAACAAATCGAAATTTGAAAATAACAATAATAACAATATACCTGCATGTTTACCCCTTTTTTCGTTCGCTTGTGTGTGATTCGGCGGACAACGAGCTTTTTCCGCTAAAAAAGCGAACTGTCCACGACAGGAGAGCACAGTGCGTCCTTGATGAGAAGAACACTGCATCGAATTTGCCATTCATCATTATGATGCACTTTGTCGTTACGCATAAACCCTTTGTTTGTCGCATTAACATGATACAGTCAAGCAAACTAAACGCATAGTAAAGTACATATTACAATTATTGTGTCATCCACAGATATGAATTTGAAAATTGATGAAATGGTACCTTTGTTCGAGCTCAGGATGGCGAATATAGTTTTTTTTGCCTGGAGATGATGGTGCAAAGAACTTGTTAGACGCTTTTGCAGCAGCCTCCTTTAACTTTGTAGTGTCTTTGCGCCACGTGTAAATAGTTCCGCGCGTGGCGCTAAAGAGAGCGGCGGCTTCTACCGCTGAGTGCGCAGCAAGAGCACCCTGAAACAAGGAGTTAGATAGTATATTTAAGAAGATGAGGAGGAGATATACCTTGTACTTCTCCTTATTCTTATTCTTCGGTCCGCGTGGCATACTGAGCGTTTTAATCTAAGAGGCGGGAGTCATTTGAGCGCTTATAGAAAAACCTAAACGAGGTTTCATTTTTGACTTGATTAGGACCAATTATTTGTGTCTCACTCGATCCGACAAATACGGTACCTGGGTCATCAACACGCTTTCCACGTGTAGCAGTAGTCTTCACGGTGCTATTCTCATCTGGAAAGCACGCAAAAAGGTCGATAATAATAGAGATCTTTCGAAGAGAGTGATTTTGTAATTTGTGGTATACGGGACCAGAAACAGTCCATGATTCATCGCGATTTATACGCATCCCACAAACGTATTTCCACCAACCGGCAAAACCAGCCCCCTAACCAACATCTTTGTTGGTTGCTGGAACCTGTACAATCGCTATAACCTGTGCGTTCTATCATCCTCTCGAAAAAGCATTGGGATACCATTGATACGTCGTGCGATATGGAGGGTGTTTCGTCCACCACGGGATAAGCTGCATAAACACTTTAAGCAAATCCCCTCGGGAGTTACTAAGCCATTGCTTCATAGAAGCATGCGCTCCCTCGACTGTTGAGGTGCTTTGATGGCCAAAATGACTGTATTGACTCGTCCAGCATTTCACGATTTTCCGTTTATAAGGCCATCATTCGTTGTCCAGAAACTTGCCCATGGAACGTGACAAAACTCGTAAAAAAGCACTTCTCATTTCAAATTCTTCCGCAGTGTCAGAAATGATCGTCTCGTAATACTTCGCCAAGAAAATTTCTTTTTCTAGCGTGTCTTTTTTTACCACACAGATGCGTTTTGTCCGTCGATTCGACCAATTTTTTCCGCGCTTGAGCAAGGACGGTCAGGTTGATACGCCACAAACACAGTAACTTGGCTGAATTTGGGAAAATTTGTCTCAGTTGCATTGGTGCACGCTGGTTGACAATTAGTGAGAATTACACGTGGTAGAGAATGGCGTTGGAAATCATGATATCCTTCATCTTGGATAGAACTACGTGTAATACGGTTCCGCTTCACCAGGCAATCATATTTGCGCGAAAGGAAGTATCGTGTTCATCCCGGTGATGATGATAGCATTGAGTAGGGGCAGGCGATATTTGTTTTTATTGTATGTGCAGTTGAGCACAAGGCTTTTCATGAAATGCTGGGTTAGGTTGGTTGTTTCAGGATGGGCCCACATCAAATAACAAATACGCTTTGCTGTATCCACCTCGGAAGAACTATGGAATTTCTTAGCACCCAACAGTTCAGGTACTAAATTTGTGAGCATGCTATGTCCATTGGCATTTTTGTCAGGAAATTCTAGTCGTTTGTAAGTAAAGTTCCGTATATTTGCGCTGTTAATACGTCAGCATCTGCTTGCATTGGAATCAGAGTCGCTTGAGTTTGCTGGCAGCCCGGCGGGCTTCTCGCTGCCGGTGTACAACGTGCACACGCACGTCAAATGAAGGCAGATGATTATACGTTTGACTACCGTCGTCAGTGTACGCAATTTTTCCACCCACCTAGTAGGTAAATAGCTTCTTAACCCGCAATAATACTTCCTCCGTCCGAAAATATAAGCGGGTTTCGACAGAGAATCCGAACTTAAGCTCAAAGTGCAAATTTTACTCGTTTTGATTAGTTAAAATTCAAGAGCAGCCCCGTGCGGTTCGACACGTGGTCTTACTGCGACCATCCGACAACTGGATCAAAAGACACAGCCCCCCCCTAAAGACTGGCACTACTCGGATTTCAACTTTTACCTTTCGCCAGTCTACCAAAATGAGCGCGCGCTCCGCCGCAACACCTCGGACGCGCAAAACCTTAACTCCAACTGATCGTGCGGCTGTCGCTGCATTCGTACTAAGTGTTAGCATCGCGCTACAGCCATCAAGAGGCTCCATCCAAGCTTGCGCGGCCAAGAATGGCTGTAGCGACGACCAGATCTCGCGTTTGTGGCGCCGAGCCGTTCAGGACATCAAAGTAGGCAACCCCATCAACTACGGCAGCAGTAGGAATGGAAAGAGCGGTCGGAAGTCACGCATGACAGAAGCGTTCCGCGAAGACCTCAGCAGGCACATCGACCTTAACGTTTTAGAGGATCGCACGGATATTCGCACTTTAGCGAGTATTCTAGGTATTCCATAATCGACCCTACATGACTGCTATCGCGCTGGTGTGTTTCGCAGCCACACTACACGGGTGAAGCCGATGCTAACAGAGAAGCAGCATGTCGACCGAGTCAAGTTCACTGAAGGGTTCGTGCACCGAGGCTCAAGCAATACGCTGTTGTTCGGCCGCATGATGGACTATGTGCAATTGGATGAAAGTGGTTTATCTGTGCAAAGAGAAGCAGCAACTATATCTCGGAGAGCACGAAGACGTCCCTCATATTACTGTGAAAGACAAGAACTTCATCATCAAAGTAATGTTTCTTGTTGCTGTCGCGCGACCACGACGGGACACTAATCGACATCGTGTCTGGGACGGAAAGATAGGTTTATGGTCATTTTTTTATTTGAGTACGAGAGCGCTCGAGCAAGAACCGCCCTACTGGTACGTTAGAGTTGAAGACATTTACAGTCGATCGTGACATGTATCGCCGAGCGCTGTGGGCATTCCGCGCATTAAATCGTTGTGGCCTTTCGGAAAAACGCGTCGTACTTCAGCACCACAACGCAGAGCCGCACGTCGCTGCTGATGACCCAGAGGTGCTGGTTGCGTGTGGATGGGGAATGAGCATTAGCCCCCACCAGCTAATTCACCCGATTACAACGCAAATGATCTCGGCTTGTTTGCTTCTCTGCCGTCCTTACAGCACAAAAAGAAAGCCAAACGATTGAGGACCTCGTTAACAACGTCGACGTCGCTTTTAAACAGCTTGACTTCTCACTATTGACAGAGTTTTCGTCACGATGCAGTCCGTACTACAAGCTTTCATGGATATGAACGGCAGCAACAAGTACAAGATTCCCCATCTGACCAAGAGTCAGATAGAGACGATAAATGCCTTGCTCCCTCGCTCCTTACCTTGCAGCGCGCTAGTGTATGCCAAAGCCAAATATTTCTTAAGTTCGGCTGAACATGAAAATTAACATTATACCAAGCTTAACGCTTATATTTCCGGACAACTTTCATTTAGAGAGCCGTTTATATTTCGGGCGGAGGAAGTATGCTTTTAAACGCCGAAACAATGCATAAACTTTCGGCGATGGACACTTGTCGGATTCCAACTCTCGTAGTACCTCGATAATGGGATCGATCAGCTTCATCACGTATTCTAGTAATTACCAATAATCTGGACCGAAAACAATAGTTATAACTTTACCGAGAGATACTCGGTTGGCCGCTGTAGCGTGGAAACGCTTCAGCAGCTCTGTGTTGTCGGGCACGTCATGATAGCCATGTCAGCACGCTTCTAAGACAAGCGTGTACGGTATACCAACGCGTTTGAGTCGGAATAACAAGAACACGTTGCAAGTCAGAGCTCGTTAGAGTTGTTGCCTGATGTAGCGAGTGATACTGATCAACTAAAGCGTCATGAGCTTGAATTACCGTTGTCTGAAGCTGTCGGAGCTCATCCAATAGAGCGTGATGATCTTGAGCAAACTTTGCGATAACCATCACTTCGCTGTGAATCTTGGTAAAGGGCAGCATCTTCAAGACATCCTGAATTACCGGTCAATGTCATGTGCAGCACAGCCACATGCAAAAATGGTCAGCTTCGCTTTCAAAATTCCCCCATGAGTTGACCATATTACTTGCAT